GTCGCCAACGTCACTTCCGGGCGTGGTGGCCCGGCTGTGGGCTCGGCCTGCCTGGCTGCTGCAGCCCGAGCTGACGCTGCGCTGGCCCGGGCTGCGCGGGCCACACGTGCGTCTGACGTGGACGGCGTGCGTGCGTGGCCCCGAGGACCCGGAGGACGCGCCCTGGGTGACCCTCGACCCCCGTGATGACCCTGATGACGTGCACGTGGTGACCCCGGGGCAGACGCTGCGGCTGCGCTGTGCGGCGCAGGGTTCGGAAACACCACGCGTGGCCTGGACGCGGCCCGACGGCTCCATCCTGCGGGGCGATGAGGACGGTGGCCATGACGGGGGGACAACGCTGGAGATCCACGGGATGCGCCAGGCCGACGCTGGCTGGTACCGCTGTGAGGCCCGCGTGGGGCGCCGCGGGGAAACCAAGGCATGGCGTGTGGCCTACGGCGGGGACGGAGCCACGGGGTCCGGGGCCTACACGGAAGAAGAAGCCATGGAATCCGAGGCCTATGGTGTGGATGAAGCCACAGGATCCAAGGCCTACGCTGTGAATGAAGCCATAGGATCTGAGGCCTACACTGAGGAGAAAGCCAAAGGATCCAGTGCCTATGGCTCAGATGAAGCCATGAGATCCGAGGCCTACACTGAGGAAAAAGCCACGAAATCTGAGACCTATGGTGAAGAAAAAGCCTACGCTGTGAATGAAGCCATAGAATCCGAGGCCTATGGTGCAAATAAAGCCATAGAATCCGAGGCCTTCACTGAGGAAAAAGCCATAGGATCTGAGGCCTACACTGAGAAGAAAGCCACAAGCCCTGCAGCCTACACCCTGTCTGAAGCCACAGGTCCCACAGCCTTTGACACCTCTGAAGCCACAGGCCCCGCGGCCTACACCAGCTTTGAAGCCACAGCCCCCGCGGCCTACACCCCTTCTGAAGCCACAGCCCCCGCGGCCTACACCCCTTCTGAAGCCACAGCCCCCACGGTCTACACCCCGTCTGCAGCCCCGGGCCCTGCGGCCTATGGCGGCTTTGAGTCCGCCGTGGCGGGCCGGGCGCACCGCGTGTTCGTAGTGGCGTCGCGGGCGCCAGCAGCCACGGCTCTGGCGCTGCCTGCCGGCGTCGCGCTGCGGCTGGGCTGCCGAGCGGAGGCGGAGCCGGTGGCGCGCGTGGGCTGGCTGCTGCCGGGCGGGCGCTGGGCCTGGGGGGGGACGGAGCTGGGGACGGATGGCGTCGGGGTCGGGGCGGACGGGACGGTGATGCTGCCCACGCTGGGCCCAAGGCATGCCGGGCGCTATGTGGGCGTGGCTGCCAACGCGCTGGGGCTGGCGCGCTGGGACGCCGACGTCAGCGTGGGCGGGGCGGCGGGGGACAAGATGGCGGAAGTCAAGATGGAAGGCAACAAGATGGCGGAAAGCAAGATGGAGGGAATTAAGATGGTGGATTCCAAGATGGTGGACACCAAGATGGCGGACTCCAAAATGGAGGGAAGCAAGATGGCCGAAAACATGGCAGAATCTAACATGCCCGATGCCTACATGGCGGATTCCAAGATGGCCAAAACAAGATGGAGGGAACCAAGATGGATGGATCCAAGATGGTAAGGAAACAAAATGGCGGAAGCCAAGATTGCAGAATCCAAGATGGAGGGAACTAAGATGGCGGAAGCCAAGATGGACGAACGAAGATGGCAGATGCCAAGATGGCAGAATCAAACATGGAGAGAAGCAAGATGGAGGGAACCAAGATGGCCAAAAACATGGTGGAATCCAACATGGCCGACACCAACATGGCGGATTCCAAGATGGTGGACACCAAGATGGCGGAATCCAAAATGGAGGGAAACAAGATCAGGGAAAGCAACATGGCGGAATCCAAGATGGAAGGAATCAAGATGGCGGAAAACAAGATGGAAGGAATAAAGATGGCCGAAAACAAGGTGGTGGAATCAAAGATGGAGGGAACCAACATGGCGGAATCCCAGATGGAGGAATCCAAGATGGAGGGAATTAAGATGGCGGATTCCAAGATGGTGAAGGCCAAGATGGCGGGTGCTGCTGCGGAAGCGGCCGCAGGGGCGTCGCGTGGCGCTGACGTCATTGTTGACGCGCCTAGCTCGGGCCCGGGCACCTGGGAAGCGCGGTTGTGGCGTCGGTGTCCTGCGGGTGGCCCCGGGCGCGGGCAGTAGCGGCGTCCGCCGCCTCCACCTCCCCCTCCCGCCCCGCGCGCCGCCCCCGCCGGCCGCAGTTTCGAGCCCGCCTTGCCGCGCCGCCCGCGCCCGCCAGTGGCTGCGGAGCACATCCAGCCCGAGCACTGGGTGCGAATCCTGGCGCGCGTGCGCGGCCGCGGCACGGGACTTCCGGGCCCCACCCGCCCTGCTTCAGGTCTCCACGGAGACCTCCAGGCTTCCGGCGTCACACACTTCTGGTTTCTACACTTCTGGTTTCGATGCAAATATCCCCACTTCCGATCTCTGTGTCTTCCGCCGACCCACTTCCGGTCTCCACTCAGACCTCACCACTTCCGGTCTCCACTCAGACCACCCCACTTCCGGTCTCCACACTGCCGGTTTCCACTAAAACATCACCACTTCCTGTCTTCACTACTTCCGCCTACCCACTTCCGCTCTCCCCGCAGACCTCCCCACTTCCAGTCTCCACTCGGACCCCTGCACTTCCTGCTTCCACACTTCCAGTTTCCACTCGAAAATTCCTACTTCCGGTCTCCACTCGGACCACCCCACTTCCGGCTTACCACACTTCCGGTTTTGTCTCGAACATCCCCACTTCTGGGCTCCACTCGCAAATCTACACTTCCGGTCTCCACAAGGAGATCCCCACTTCCGGTCTCCATTCGGACTACCCCACTTCCTGTCTCCCCCACTTCCGGTTTCCACTCGGAAATCCACACTTCCGGCCTCCACTACTTCGGCCTATCCACTTCGGTTTTCGACTGAGAGATCCCCACTTCCGGCTTCCACACCTCTAGTTTCCCCACGGAACTCCCCACTTCCAGTCTCCAGTCGGACCACCCGACTTCCGGTCACCACTCAGAGATTCCCACTTCTGACCTCCACACTTCCGGTCTCCCTACGGACCTCTCCACTTCTGGTTTTGACACGGACATCCCCACTTCCGGCCTCCACCCCTCGAGCATCCGCTGCTCCGACCTCTGCACTTCCGTCCTCCTCACTTCCGGCCTCCTTACTTCCGGTCCCCAGGAGGCTCGGAGGCGGCCGCAGGCGGGGGCGACAGCACAAAGCCCACCGCGCCCGGCCGGGCCCCACGGCGAACCTCCGTGACCCCGTGGTCACGACCCTGCACGGCCGTGCCCCGGATGCCCTCCTTTCCCGTCCTGTGGCTTCCCCCGATGGTGACCCCAGGACCTTTGACCCGCGACCCCCGGCCCTGCCCGCCGTGACCCCGCCCCGTGGCGCCTGGAACGAGCTGGACACGGGTGAGCCTCAGTTTACCCATCTGTCTCCTGCAGGCTCTTGGCTTGGGGGCGGGGGACTGAGGGGAGCCAGATAGGAGGTGGAGATTAGAGGTCACAGGGAGGATACAAGACGGTCAGGGGTCATGGGGAGGTTAGGGGTCACGGGGGGTCAGAGGTCACAGGGAAGTCAGGGGTCACAGTAGGGTCAGCGGTTGCAGAGAGGTCAGAGGTCATGGAGAGGTCACGGGGAGGTCTTGGGTGGGTCACTGGGAGGTCAGAGGTCATGGGGAAGCCAGGAGTCACAGGAGGTCAGAGGTCACATAGTCAGAGGTCATGGAGAGGTCACAGGGAGGTCAGGGGTCACTGGGAGGGCAGAGGGCATGGACAGGTCAGAGAGCATGGGGAGGGGAGGGGTGAAGTCCTTTACTCTGTCTGTCTGTTGTCTGTGTTCCTGGCCGTGTGGGGCACAGGATGACTGGGGAGACAAACACACACGCACGCACAGACAGACATAGAGCAGACAGATAGAGGGACGGATGGATAGACAGACAGACAGACAGACAGATAGGTGGTGA